GTCGACATGCAAGCGCACTCCCGTTGGCTCCAACAAGGCTATGTAGGCTACAAGGGCGTAGCCAATCTGTAGCCTGTGCCAATGAGGGCACTTCAACGAAGAGGCTGAAAAGCCGCAGACGCCGTCAGCCGTGGCCCGGACGAGCCGTCAGTTTGAAAACAGATCGACTCGACGCCACTGAGACCGAGGCGGCATGGGCGGAGATGGAGCATCTCCAGTCCAAAAGACCCCGGCGGCCAAGGCACACTTGGGCAGAAGCCAGAAGGCTTCATTCGTGCCTCTTGGCCTCTTGGCTCTTGCTGTTTCGAATCGCGTGTGAGGCAGTCGCTGGTGCAGTTGAGGAAGTGGGCTTTGGGTTGTATCAGCCACTCGCTAAGCATCGGAAGAGCTCGGTCGAAACAGCAACAGAGATCCGCACATGGGCAAGTGTGAGTGAAGTGAAGAGCCCGCAGCGGCGCCAAGGCTTGTCGTGAGTATCTCAGTGGGCATTCGTGCGTTTGAGTTCGGCTTGCAGTTGTTGTGCCCTCTGGTTGCATGCCGGGCATTGCCTAGCCGTTGTTCCTCACCGGCGGCATCTTCTTGGCGGAGGGTGCTGAGATGCTGGTGATGGGCCGCGGCCTCTCGCGTGTCCTCCCATCTGGGTTGAGTGAGCAGAGCATGCGGCAGCGACGAGGCTCCATCACTTCTTTGCTTCATCGACACTGGGAGCTGAATCCGGCAGTGCGCGGCGGTATGGTTTCGATAGTTCCTTGGATCTCCCATTCATTCCGTCCATGACGCTACTGCTACTGTCCGTGCCGTCGAGGTTTTTATTGGCTTTTCTGCGGCATGCTCGGTGATTGTGGGGGTTCGACTTCTTCGTAGTTGAGCGTTGTTTACGAGAAGTGGGCCGAGGTTGGCAACTTCATTTCCGGCCAGATCGGCGACAGGTTCGGCCGGCGTACATCGATTCTGCTCGCGCCGCCCGCTTACCCCGATACTGGAGTGCAAGATGTTTTCATCTTATGGCAAGATGCCCCGAGGTATGCCATGATCGCATTCTTTGGCTTTGCAACGGCGTGTTCGCAGGGGTCGGGCACTCAAGTCAGCTGCGTGAAGCTACTTGTGGCGCAGACTTTACGTCCTTGCTGCCTGAGGCCTGGCTTTATGATTTTTCTTCGCTTCTTCGTTGGGGTAGGCAGGCCTGTGCTTGACAGACACTCCGTCGCCAGCAGCCAGCATGGGGCAGGTTGTGGAATCGGCTTTCCTGCTGCTTACTCCCTCATGCCAGAGGCCACGGAGCACGCTGAGTTTGTGCAGGTGTGAATGTATTGCGTGATATGGCGTGACCACACTCGCTGTTCCAGTTAATCTCCTTTTCGTCCTGCCTGCAAACCTTTCGTATCCAGTGCTGCTCGTGCAGCAGCGAATTCCAGCTTGTTTTCAAGCCATCAGTTTCTGTTGACAGGTTGCGCCGTCCGCTTGGAGGAGTAGTCTCAATACCCTCATGATCGGCTTCATGCCGTTGGGTGAGCTCATTGGTGCTCTGGTGGCGCCTGTCCCAGATCATGCCTCATCGTTTGCGAATGGGCTCAGCCTCAGCTGTGTCTGTCTCTCTGTTTGTGTGCATTGCAGACGGAGGTTCTGTTTGTTGACCCAGAGCTTGACAACTCTGCTCGTGGCCTTCAGCCTAACAGACATTCGCACATTGCGTTTGATGACTCATGTGAATTTCCGCCAGGTTGCAGCATGGATTTGTACTACCCTTCGCGTGCACTGATACAGCTGGCAGCTTAGAGCTGCAGGAAACCAAATCTTGAGCGGCAGTGCCATGTAATCTGAGGCCGGAGCTCTGTGCATGGAAGACGCTGTGTGAAATGAGCGTTGGTTACTCATGAGTCGAAGACTTGTGTCTTCTGTGGATCGTTTACTTGCGATGATGTTCCTGAGGCTATCCCAGCCTTTCTCTTTCTGATCTTGGTCCTTGCCTCAAACTCGCACATGCCCTGAAGTCGCGACAGGTGCATGGAAGTTTGTATCAATTTACGAGGTTGTTGGATAAGATGAAGCTGGCGGATCTTTTCCTGAGGCGAGCAAATTCTTGGACGAGTCGCCGCAGTTTCTCGCAAATTGCGGTCGGTATGAAGAGTGCGAGGAGGCGGCAATGCTTGTCAGTCGTGGAGAGAGTGCGAGGGGAGATAGGGCTTGGAGAGAGAAGTACCCAGAGTCTTTCGCTGGATGCATACTTGCTTCGGCGGGCCACAAAGCCCCATGCTTGGACGCACCCGGGGCCTAGAGTGCTTGCTGGCTGCTGCCCCTGCGTCAAAACGGAGCAAACGTGAGGCCTGGAGGAGATGATGCATAGTGAAGAACTGGTTTCATGGTACACAGCCTCGAGTCAGTAACGCCTTATGTGGGAGACCATGCTGTAGATTTCAATTCCTAAGCCACTTGACCTATCGGAATGCCATCAACCACCGGGCGGCCTGAGCCCTACGAAAGACAAGAGAGTAGCCTGCACCAAGAAAATCTGCCAGCACTAGCAGGTGTGCGTTCGCTTGCGGGGACGGGTGGACTTACCCGTCCGAGCCTGGTAGAGACAGAGAGACGGGGGGAGAGAGTGGGACGACTACAATTCTTTGTTACAATGGGCACTGATCAGTTTGCTGATTTGGGGGATCCGAGTCGTCCCTTGTCACAGAGAAGCATCTGGGAAGGCAGATTTGATATGAAATGTGCACATTCCATAGCCGTAGCCAGCCATACTCTACCGGGTGCACCGAAGGCAGTCAGAAATCTCATACCTTGATTTGCAGGGGCACCGTCCTAGTTACTGTCATATAACATGCTTGGGGAACAGTGTGAGAAGTCACTGGTGACCCCTTCCCAAACCAAACCGGAACACGCTGTGTAGATGGCAAATCCCGAGCCCACTCGTAGGATGTTGCTCGCGACAGGTCCTCCAACGCATGGCGGGACTCTTGGAGCAATGCAGAAATTCGACTTAGACCGTCTGACCGTGACAGGCCAAGTTGAATGGGGCCCAACTGGATGTCGAGAAGCTCCGTGTCTCGCCGCATCAAACATTCTTCAGCGACCTCAGCCCGGACATGTGGCCTGCTTGCGCATGACACAGGTGTTGCTTTCAGTGTGCCACATGCTGACGAAGGTGCTTGAGCTTTGCTACAGAAGGACAAGGATGCCATTGATCTTTGCACGTGAGGCAGCGAGCCGAGTCCAACATCGCCGTCGCGGTCATATTCCTTTCGCCATGTTGTGGCAGAGCTGTCCGGGCCCCCGGGCCGCGGATGCTCATGTTGACTTGTTGGTTCTCTGAAATGCCCTGGCCAGTGCCTTCGCCAGATGAAGCTGAGAAGTTGACAAAGGTGCTCTGGCGATTTTCTCCCTGTGGTGTCCTTCATGTGCCTGGCTCACATTGCCAAGGAGGGCTGCGCCGCTTGAATGTCTGCATCTTTATGGGAATGCAAAGCCGCATAGCTTGCAGGACTTTGGGGTGTTCGGCCTCTCATACATGCTTCCTCAGCAACTTGATTGCCAGCCAGTGCTTGTCGGGAGCAGGATGCAAGGAGAACGCACAGCAGTCCATGCAATATGCCCAAGGTATTTCGTGTTCCTTAAGAACTTGACGGCCGGGGCCGCTTCGAGTGCGATTGTTCCAAGGGCAGCTAGAGCAACCTTCACCAGGCGGGAGTGGAGCTGATGGTCGCAGCAACCTCGGATCCCGGACCTGGTCATGGTCTCGGCCCTGTAGGTCTAGGGCCCATTCATTCGGTGCCGAGGTAGCGACCTTGGCAATGCCGGGCGTTGCGCTGACCTACTTGTGCTCCAGAATCCCAGGAGTACGCCGGGCAGATGCTTTCATGATCGTGGGTAGCCAGAGAGGAGAGCCCTGAGCTTTGTGTTGAAGACACGCAGCGGCAAGAAAAGAGACACGTAGGTCTCTTTGGTGTATTGGATGTCCGGCTCCGCCGCGCTATGTGCTTTGGCTTCAAAAGAACTTATGCTCAATCGCTCTAGGAAGGCTCGCGGGCCCTTCTTTTTTTAGGGGGCACTGCTCAGGCTGCTTTTTTGGTGTGGGCATGCTGACGGCAGCGCCGGAAAGTTCGGCAAGCGACCCAGCATTAATCGACACATTCTTGCTGGAGCGATCGGCATGTTGCCAATGATGTCTGTCCTCAATTCGAGGCTGCGCCCGCAGCCTACATGGTCAAGTTGCTCGCAATGCTGGGGGCTCAGCTCGAGTCGCCAGGACGCACGGGACGCGACGAAGAGATGCTCTCTATATGTGATCAGGTCATACTTCGTTTTCACTGTTTCCTACACGACTGCGGCATTTCCGGCACGCATCCGCCAAACAGCAGCTGCTCGCTCGGCGAATGAAGACCGTCACAGCACGTTCTGCTGAGTGTTTTTCTGTATTTGGCAAAGTGTTGGCCTGTTGCCCAGGTTGGCATTTGCACAGCAGCCGGCCGCATGGGATCAATCAGTGCTCCGGCTTTAATTGTCAGTGGCTCTTACGATCTTGTGCCATTTGTGTCGCAGGCGCACCCCTCGTCTTCGAGTTGAGCAAGGAAGTCACCGGCAGTTTCGACTTCTTCGTAGGCCAGACGAGATTTGCCTGCCTGACAAATCGTGCCTCTGTGACAAATCTGGACGTGCATGGTAGAGTCTTATTTAATGTTCTTGCAGGTTGCCTCATGTCGCTGATGGCTGCAGTGTCATTGCTGGCTCCATTACTCTTGCCAAGATGGGGCCAGGAAGAAGCACGATGCTGAGTTTCATCCGGCGTGCTTCACGTTGCTGAAGCTCCTCTTTGTTTCGAGGCACCGATGTTGATTGAGTCTGACGGTGCCAAGGAGCGAGCCGGGTGTTAATTGCAAAACTAGATGTCAGAAGGACGTCATCTATCGTTTTTGTAGGTTTGTGTGAGCGCATGCATCCGCCCGGAACAAGGAGTCGACAGCCTGCATGCAAGCACACCCCTCCGCACATCTCTCTGCACGCGCGCGTTGCTGCTTGGTTTGCTCTGGCGGTACTAGGTTGTTTTGACCAGGGGCGAATGAGGAACAAGGTGCGCATGCGGAGAAAAATGACGTGCTCCAGCCTGTCTTTTGAGAGAATTCACGCAGACTCACGGAGCAATTGCAAGAGGGCAGCGAAAGAGGAACATGCAAACCCGCAGCAACTGCAAACAGACAGAGGGCCAATAATGTGATTCAACCCGCTGGTCGTCTTGAATTCGTTTAGGCTGCTGGCCGTCTAGCACCATTCTCTGGAGGATTATGCGTCTTGCAAGAGTTGCGCCTGAGATTGGGCCGGGCGATCTCTGAGTCCGAATCCGAATGACAGCAGCTTCTGCCAAAAAGGGAAAGTGCCGCCATCACGCTCTGGAGCAAAGCAGATAGATCGGTCTCTGGTCCGTGCCTGTTGCAATCGGCTTTCGGCTCTTAGAGGCTGCCAGGGCCAGGGCCCCAGACTTGGTCAGAGACATGGCTCAGCTCTGCGACCGCCACTCGAGCGCAAGGAGAGCTGCCTTTCGCGGCGTTGGCAGACTAACTTTCTGTGGTGCCGTATGGTTGGCGAGCGAGAGTTTCACAGCTTTCGTTCCAGCAGGGCATCTTCAGCAGACTCAGCCGGCTCGCAGTGTGGGAGTCTCCGGAGCCACACCGGCGCTGCTTCTTGCAACACTTTCTACTGACGCAGCAAAGGCTGACGACTCCGATGCAGAGGGCTGGAGCTTCAACCCTTTTTACTTCGTGGCCTTCCTGGTGGTTGTGGGAGTCGTCCGCCTCATCGGATGGGTCTTCAGCCTGAAGCCCGAAATGGATTTAGATGCGGACGGATACAAGTCAACCACTTTGCGGGGGAGGGACTCAGAAGAAAACCTGCAGCGACGGATTGCAGAAATGGAAGCCCGCCTTGCGCTCGAGGAAAAACAAAGACAAGCGTTGATAGCAGGCAAGGCCACGGCTACAAGAGGGCAAGACGACGTGGATGACGATTTGTTCAGTTCCGACTTGGATGCGCAGCTGCGCGCAGCACGGAACAGCTAGTTAGTAACATGACATGATGTAATAGCATACTCTTCAGATGTTCCCGAAGGGAACTTCTCTCATTCGTAGCATCTTAGCTGCCATGCCCGAGATCTCGAAGCCGGTGCACCATCGTTGCGCCTTCGCTCAGCTCAAGTTGTCATCGGCAGCCGGCAGGTAAATACCAATACCAGTGCAGGAACATTTCGCAACGTGCACCAAGGGTTTGACGATCCTTTTTCATTTTCCGGAGAGAAGGGCTCTAAACACATGAAGCCAATGAGTTCAGCGCGCGACACCCTGTTAAAAGAACTGCGGGCACTCCCACTGCACCATGAGCAGCTAGGCCGAGCCGCAGGTCTTGTTCTTAGCCGGTGTCAAAGCCAGAACAACTGCTAAGCCCTTCCGCAATTTTGCAGTTGTTGTTGATGTCACGGCTCCATAGCAGCTTCGATTGTGCACCATTTTTTCGCATGGTTTCGCCCCAAGATGGCCACCCAGAAGGGGATTACCAACTTCTTGCAGTGCCATTGGCCAGCGAGCCATACACTGTCCATCACATGAATTGGTATGCTTGTGCTTCGAGGCCGAGTGTCGTGAATATGTGCATCCACCTGTCTTGCATATCATAAGCCTCAAGAGATCCAAGTCTCCGCGCGATGCGCTGCCACTGTCAGAAGCTTTGGCACCAAGCCGTTGGTTCACGGCTGCCAGCCCCCGAGGTTTTTGCTGAGTTCTGTTGTCGAGCATTAGCTAGCTTGTGTGTGAAGGTGGGGGACTTGGCGGGATTGAGGTCTCATACTGTCATACACCTGTTCGAAATATCGTCACCTGGCGGGCCTCGTTTAGGGCATCGATATCGTGTTGGCGGGCCAAGAAAGCGCCCCAAGCCCATGGAAATAAACGGCTCCGTGCATGTGTCGCGAAGGCGATGGGAGCGTTGATGGTGGGACACGGCATGCTCGTCACTGCACAGCCTTGACATGCTACGGTGCTGACCATTTCATTCATCATGCGGGTTTGTCGGGAACTATGAGTCGGATATACAGCCGACAGGAGTCAGGAACTATCCGGGCAAGAAGTTAGAAGCTACGGGGACACAAGGCTGACACATTTCAAGCGGGGTGGGTGGTTGGGGGAGCAGCCAGGCTTTGGCATCAAAACATGCGCCCCTCTGGAGGCCTCGTTATGAACTGGGCTCGCAATGTTGCTTTGATTGTGTTTTCAACAGATTCTCTCTGTGTGGCAAGCGGAAACCATCGGAACCAGTTTCGGAATTTCACGAGGCTAATGACAGATGCCAGCTTGTTTCTGCCCACAGAGTCTGACGCCCACAATGGGATGCCCTTCAAGTCTTTGCTTTAACTGCGTGAGCTTCGCTGGGAGTATCTGGCAAGGAGGGACATTCGCTTTAAATTTGATCGCGCATTCGCCTCTGATTTGGTTTCTGGTACATTGAGACGTAATGCCTTTGTTGCTGCCTTTGGTGTGCGTCCTCTGTCACGAAACGCATTGACACTGTAGTTGGCTCTGTGGCATTCACGCCGTGAAGCTTCGGCCGAGGCTTGCTGGGCATCGAATCAGATGAGGGCTTTCGCGACATGGTACAAGAAGTGCGATCTAGTGCGATGTCAATCATGCTTGGCCAGGTGTGCCTGTTCGTCTGCTGAAAGCCAGGACTCCGGGGGCATTGCATGCGAGAGAGAAATGCCACCCTGATCCATGACTTGCAGGGAGAGTTCACATGATGCGATGGTCCGTAAAGAGAGAAAGAGAAAAAACCCGGCAAGCAAGCAGTATAGAAAGAGACAGAGAGCGAAGAGAGAGAGAGAGAGAGAGAGAGAACTGTACGTTGCACCCTAACCTAGTTCTACTTGCTGTCGTGGTGAACACGGTCGTCCCTGCTGTTTTCTGCACAACAAGAGACGGGAGCCCCAACCCGTACACGGAGTGCAGTGGGAAACCCGAGTGGTGTTCATGCTACCTACGTTGTTGGTTGGAAAGCGGGAAACCCACTCACTGCCCTGAACAACAGGGCACACGCTTTGTACAGCCGAGCCCTTCCACTCCAAATAGTGGATGGGGTAGCGCGCTCGCGCGGGGCGGGAGGACTGCTCCTGCCCTAAACCCCGAGCAAAGCAAAGCAAAGAGAGAGAGAGAGAGAGAGAGAGAGAGAGCGAGAGAGGCCTGATGGACTGCCTACCCTCCAAGCCCCTGAGCAAAGCAAAGAGAGGCCTGATTGTAAAAGTCAACCTGGGGGACCCTCGAACAGCCCTAGGAGTTCTAATGCGCAAACCTTGAGGCCGTGGAGCGGCCAGATCTGTTCCCTGAATGCGGTTTATCCACTATCTAGGCACAAAGCTTCACTTGAATTTATCCTCGATGACACAAGGGAACACGGTAACTGTGCATGTGTCAGACTAACAACTTTGGAACCCTGATCGTTCGTATGCCAGAAACATCCAAAAACCAACTTAGCCTGTCATCAGGGTAACTCGTTGTGAATTCTCACGCCTTTCCAAAAGCCCCGTAACACATATGGGGGGCCCATGCGGCCGGGAGGTCGCACGCTCCCCATGCCCTGCTGCAGAAGAGAGACCTGATTTACCTTTCTGCATCCCATACAATAGGGAAGCGTCGTGAGGGTGGGGTGAGGGTCGCTCCCTCAGCAGCCTAGAAGCAATAGCGATGTGGATGCGCCATGATGCGGTGACAGCACTTGATCCATGTTGATCCTACAAACTGGGTCCTCGCAGTCGCTCTGAAAGTTTTGCAAGTGGTACTCACATTGCTTCTCAGGCCGAGACCCGTGGCGTTCGGCCTTTTCCCGGCACACCTCGTCTCTCCCGCTTCCTGTTTGGGCGGCTTCAGCTCACTTTTTTGGCCGGCCTATAGTGCCTGCCTCCGACCAGAAAGGTAGGAAAGAGCTCCAGCCGCGGCGCCATGGGGGCGGGAGCCTCCGCAGCCGCGTCGACCTTGACATCCGAGCTCCAAGGCTCCACTGTCTCTGACGTCAAGCAGGTCCTGGCCAACCTGACGCCTGCAGAACGCCAGAAGATCAAGGCAGAATCGAGCTTTAAAGTGCTGTTGTCGTACCCTGATTGTGGAAAGGAGACCTTATAAGATTAGAAGAGTTGCAATCTATACCCGGAAGGGACCACTGACGACTGCCTGTGCCTATCCCTCCGCCGCGACTTTGGAGTACTGTGTGGTTTCCATAGTATTCCATAGTCATGAACTACAGGGCGCTCTTCCTAAAAAATGCCGGTACCGCTGCACATCTTCTGACTCCTTCTGTGTTGTTCAGTGGGCCTTCCAATGATCTCCAATGCATGGCGCTCGCGCGTTAGCTAAACGAAGGATTCCAGTGAAAGCTTAGAGGCTTAGAGGTTTAGGAGAAGATACCCAGAAAGAACAGTATGAGTAAGCCTTCGAACGACGTCGGAGGTAGCGCTGCAGATTCTGACTCCGTCAGCGCAGCTGGATGCCATGTGGAAGAAGCAGGTGAAGCTGGGCGACGAGAGTTTCAAGACGTGGGGCTTGCAGCTGGAAGAGCAGATCCGCGAGGAAATGCACATGGTCTACGTGCCCTACAAGCCGGACGATCTGCCCCCCAAGGTGGACCTCCGGAAGCACATGACCCGAGTGGAGGACCAACGGAGGCTGAACAGCTGCGCCGCCAACGCGACGGCGGGAGCTTACGAGTACTTGCTGAAGAAGAGAGGCGATGAAGAAGTGGACGTGTCTCGTTTGTTCATCTACTACGTGGGCCGCAAAGTGGGACCAGTCCAAAAAAGCCGAGGACATGGAAAGTGCCTTCGCAGACACCGATGATGAATTCTTTGAGTGGCTGGACCCCAGGACTCGCAGAGCCATCGAAGAGTTGCGGAAGCCGGCTCGTGTCCCCACAGACAGCGGCATGTCGATCAGAGGTTGCATTGAAGCCATGGAGCTGAAGGGTGTGTGTTTGGCATCTTCCTGGCCCTATGATATTGGGAAAGTAAATAGTAAACCCACGGAGGACTGTTTTAAACAGGCCTTGAGGTACAAAGTCGTGGAGAAAGAGCTGGTCCAGAAGGACACTAATGTGATGCGGAAGAAGCTCAGCGAAGGTCATCCCATCATTTTCGGCCTGAAACTCTTTGAGCGCTTTTTGTCGCCCTCCCGGGGCGGCTTCATTCCGACTCCCGATGAAGGGGAGAAGGAGGCCGCCGAACACGGGAAGCATGCGATGCTCCTCGTCGGCTACAATGACCGCAAGCAAGTCTTCATTGTTCGAAACAGCTGGGGAAAATCTTGGGGTGAGAAGGGCTACTGCTACTTAAATTATGACTATGTGGCCAACCCCAAGTTCAACATGGGACCTCTCTACATCATCAAAGCGCTTGGGGCCGAGGAAGCCGACCTTACTCCAGACCCAGATGACGGCGAGGATCCTGACTTGGAGGATGACAGGGCGGATCAGACGCTGGAGCTGGAAGAGGTCGAGGAGGAAGAGGCACCTGCAGAGGAGGAGGAGGATGGCTTCGATTTTTCCGCAGAGTTCACAGGCGATAAACTTGTGCGGGACTTCTTCTTAGCGCACGACGGGAAGCTCAACCAGTGCGAGTTTGTACATTGCCTCAAGATCCACAGCAAGACCGAGGCTGGGAAGAACTTCTCTTGGTTTCCTGCTCAACTCTCCGTTTACAAAAGTGACCAGACCGTCTGGACCCCTGAGGATTTCGATGAAGTTGTAAAGAAATGGTCAGAGTGAGCCAAAGGGTTCAAAACTTCCTTAGGCGCACGGAAGATCAATGATCAATGAGGTTCCACCGAGCCGAAGGCTCTCTCTCGGGACTGCTCTTGTACTTTGTCAGAGTTTTGGCGGGGTGCTCTCCAAGTTTATTGGAACTTCATCCTGCCCATGCGATTGCCTCTGAAAGGCCGAAATGCTTCTGTGCGGCATGACATGAGCGAGAGAGATCTGGGAAGGAAAGTAAGGGACTCAGTGCAAGCGCGTCTTTGCCAGGAGATGCAGTTTCTCAAGATGGAGCCCGCTGCTAAGAGCATTCACCTCTCCTTGCAGGCCTTTTTTCGCGGAAGGTGCCTCCTCCTGCTGCTGCTGCCACTGCTACAAGTACACTACACACCACCACCGTCACCATGGCCAACAGCTCAGCCCCAACAAACACACCACAGAAGAACATTTTCTGAGCCGGGTCTCTCATAGAGAGCAGCTGGTCACTTGGTCTCACATCCGACAAGAGCTGCGAGTCTTCGACTGGCACTGGACACGCTCACGCTCGAAAGCGCGGGCGGCTTCCGCTCGCCGATCGCTCCCTTCGTTGGCGCGGTTTCCCTCAAGGAGCTGTAGGAGATGTCCCCTTCAAGTCGTAGCAGAAGCAGTAGCAATAGTAGTAGTATCAGTAGTTGTTGTAGTAGTTGTTGTTGAAGGTAGTTGCTGGTAGCTGATAGCTAGGGGCTACTGCCTAGTACAGTACTTCGTAGTTAGAAGTTTTTCTTCGTAGCCCGTAGTTAGTAGGTAGCAGTAAGCTTCAAATGTATTCGGAGTTGCCGATGGTGTTAACATGTTCGCTGGACCAAAGTGTCTAGCTGTCGGTTCAGTCTTCTTCAGAACCCTCGCCTGATTGGGTCGAGACCGAATGCAAAAAAGCAGCAAGTAGCAAGTAGATACTGGTCACCCAGGTAGTACTTTGTAGGAAGCAGTATCTAGAAAGGAGGAAGTGTAGCAGTAGTAGTAGTAGTAGTAGTAGTAGTAGTAGTAGTAGTAGTAGTAGTAGTAGTAGTAGTAGTAGTAGTAGTAGTAGTAGTACTAGTACTAGTAGTAGTAGTAGTACTACTACTACTACTACTTGTAGTAGTGGTGCTAGTGGTGTCAGCAGAGAAGCAGCAGCAGCGGTAGGAACCCCAGCCAGCTACCCCGCTATCGAGCACCCACGCTTTAAACCGGCGGCTAGAAAGGCTTGGTTGGGACTGTTCTTTAGGGCCACGAGCGTGGGGCAAATCTGCTGAGATCAGAGACGGAAGAGGCAAATCAAGACCCAGGCTACAGTCAGGACCCGTCTCGTTTGAGTGGGGAAGCACGTGACAGCACGTCGAGTCGCAGCAACCATGGCTCATGGCAACATCGGCTTGTTCAATATTGCGACGACGAAGTCTGCAGTATTGCCATCGTTCATGTATTGGCCATGGCGAGAAGTTACGTTCGCATGTGTAGTCACAAGCCGGACATTTTGCCGTCACTGCTGTCAGTCTGAAACAAGTGATCATACTCTGTTCGTCCCGAGCAAATGCTTGTTCATCGCTGGAAGACCACTTTCGACGCATGCAGCCTGCCATGATGGTGCCTTGCGCCGACTCTCCAAGGAGAACAGGCAAGGCAGAGTCGGATGACTGTTGGATGTGGCACAAGGGCTGCAATTGTGCAGGGGCGAGTGGGTGTCTGGTGCCATATGCAACTGCGGA